TCAGAAATGTTTCTTGAGCAGCAAATCAGCATATTATACTGATTTCTGAAGATCATGTGACACTGAAGACTGGAGTAATGATGCTGAAAATACAGCTGCGCATCAAAGAAATACATTACAGTTTAACAGAGATTCACAGAGAAAACAGCTGTTTTAAACTAATAATATTTCACAATATCACTGTACAATTTTTTTGGGATCAAATAAATGCAGCCTTGGTGAACAGAGCTTTTGTGCTGTCAGGATCAACATCAGCCGATTAAATCTGTCCCCTAACTAGCAGTGCCATGATGAGTGTGACAGTGGAGTTCAACAAGATGACACGCAGCAGCTGGATTATGACACACACACACACACACACACAGAGACACACACACACACTCAGGTGCGCCCTCTATAGGACCAGCGACTAGTCGACATCAAGCTTAAAGCGTCATGGCAGAGCACTGAAGTCGACTAGTCGATTAGTCTGTGCAACCCCTAACACACACACTAGGGCTGAACGATTTTGGAAAATAATGTAATTGCGATTTTTTTACCAATATTGCAATTGCGATTTAATATGCAATTCTTTTTAAAAGCTCTTTATGTTCTGTTTTATTCAACAAAGACAAGCTATAAATCATTGTATAGTATGACCAACAAAATATTAGATAGATTAAACATAATTGTTCTTTTCTGTAAGCCAGGCCTATACATTACGATGAAATTAGGTGATGCATGAATTGATATGAATGGCATTTTTATTTAACAACTACAATCACAGTATATTGACTGATTTGTTGAACTTCCAACCTTGTAAGCATGTAATAATTATGACAACATAAAGCAAATAACAAATAAGCCTGGTGTAAACATTAATATGAAAGTCAGTAAAAAATCACACAAACTAAAGTAGATTGCAGAAATATAAAAACAAATCTGTTGCGTTACCACTTCTTTAGGTAATTCACAGTCACTGTAATAAACATATGTAAACATGTGGACTGCACTTTTTAAACACTGTCTGGTAACTTTAGACCAGTGGTTCTCAAACTTTTTTGGTCGCGCCCCCTTTAAACCTATAAAAAATCTGCCTCCCCCGAATCCCCATTCCACCTCAGACTACCAAATAATTTCACTACATTATGAAAAATGTATGCTTTTTTAATTAAAAAATCCTACAGGGAAAAAAACACCTGCATCACTTGAAACATTGAAAAATAGCGTAGAGAGAATACCTGTTATTATTATTATTCTCTCTCTGTTATTTATTTATTTTTTGTGGGTTTCATGCTGTCCGCTAAAGCAGAGGTCCCCAACCACCGGGCGCAACCCACTACCGGGCCGTGGAAGAATGCTACCGGGTCGCAAGAACATTCTGGGAAAAATGTGTACAGATATGACTGTTATTTATTGCGTGTTAATGATTGTTCTTATTATTCAGTATTTTTGTTGTATGTTGATATGGAGTAGCAATTTGACGATTTCATGTTAAATAAGTAAATGATTACTCAGATTACTTTGATCTGTCACATATTAGGGGTTAAACGGATCGCAGTTGATCCGTGACATGTACAGACGAGACCCTATACTGTTCGGCACGCACGTGATTCGCAGATTAATTTGTCAATTTACACGTACAATGTTGTATGTTGATATGGAGTAGCAATTTGACGATTTCATGTTAAATAAGTAAATGATTACTCAGATTACTTTGATCTGTCACATATTAGGGGTTAAACGGATCGCAGTTGATCCGTGACATGTACAGACGAGACCCTATACTGTTCGGCACGCACGTGATTCGCAGATTAATTTGTCAATTTACACGTACAAGCAATTTTAAACCACAAGAATAAGAAACGAAAGAGAGCTCAATACGATACTCGCGCGCTGTTGTCGCACACAATCAAAGCGCGCACAAGCATAGAGATGTGTTTCAGACAGCGCGGAAATACCGAGTTGCGTATATATACTCATAAAATTAGCCTATGTCAAAAACGCTTCACGGCATTGTCATTGTGCTTTAAATGTTTTTTTTTCTTGCTTATCCTAAAAAATAATCCGATCTGTGACTCAGAAAAACACAATATAATGCATGAACCACTATAATACTATATAATAGCCTTATATTCATTTTAACCAGCCAGTCCGCGGGAACATTTTCCAAAGGTAACCGGTCTGTGGTGTAAAAAAGGTTGGAGGCCCCCGGCGCTAAGGCATAGGACACACACAGGTTTTCCTCCTCACCAACGACAAAATACAGTAGAACCCATTATAATCAGACAAAACCCGACATTAAACTGATGCCTTGTTCTATTTATGATGTACTGACACAAAGTTAAAATGATTTGGTCGCAACGGTCGCTTTGTCGCTTCCAGAGTAGAGCTGTTGCGGCGCGACGCGACAATTGTAGCGTCCGGTATAGACACGGTGAGTGAAGCCAAGAGCAAGATATGCCTCTTTTCTGCATTTAGCTTTTAAATGACCAGCACCTGCCTGGGTCTGTGCGACTTCATGTATGGCTTTTCTCTTCGCTTTCACAAACCGATCCATCTCCCATTCTAAGTTACGTCCTTTGGCTGTTTACTGTTTTATTTCTTTTCTTTTTCTGCTGATGGCCCACGCTCAACTTGAAGCAGCGCTGCTTAGACCGATGGGTGTGTCATCAAAGTACTGCGAGAGCTATAAGAGAGCGCGGACATCTCCTTATGCTTTCTCTTGCTGTACTTTGATGTCATACACGGATCGATCTTCAAGTCGAACACACCTCTTTACTCTCGCGTGTCACGTGACCGAGTGTAATCGCAGCCTCTGCAATTGAAAAAACAGGTTTTTTCATATCGCGATATTTTCGCAAACACACACACACACACACTCACTCACTCACACATATATACAGTATACAGGGTTCTGGCATGAAACTCTAGATGGCGCAGTCCAATAGGTCTAACTCAATCTGACCTAATGACATCATTATCACATGACACAGCTGATTGGTTCTCTCCAATCGGTAGCCAATGAGCTCACTGCTCAACATTAAAATATATGACTAGTGCTTGCCGTAGCAGTTGCAGCTTGCTTCAGAAACCCGCCACCTTCCCCAGCTCCACTTGTATAGATCTGCTACAAGGTGATTCATGTATGCTATATGGGGGTTATTCATATGTGTTATATTTGCAGCAGCAGTATTTCTTACATGCTCACAGCAGCATGTTGTGGATGTATTGGCAGTAACAAGTCTCAGTACTTGCTCTGCTGCAGCAGCAGCGTAGCAGATCTATTCCACCAAGACCAAATACATTAACATTGTCATGTACATTACCATGCCAATCCCTTCGAGAGTTGTCATTACAGAACTGTTTCACTGCCCATTTCAGCAGCAGACGACAGACACAGTCACATGACCATGATAATCAGCTATTTAATATTCAAATCTCCTCACAGTGACACACACACACACACACGAGCTGAATGAATGGAAATGATAAAGGAGAAGAGCAGAGAGTCACACACGAGTCTCTGTAAGATCTCAAATGAAGGCAGAGACTCCAGATGTTTGACGCATGTCTCCTCTAGATCTCCAGCAGGTCTCACTCTGCGCTCAGACTCAGTGTTATAACACACATCCACTGCTGACCAGAATCAATGCACTGAAACATGAAGCTCCTCCGAGAATACCACAGTACACTGTGTTTAGTTGATGTTGCCGTGTAATATCAGTAAATTACGTCAAATGGCGCTGCTGCACAAACACACGTCCATCATCACAGTAACACTCGCTCTGGCTCTGCCACACATCTTTCCACATTACAGGTGATTGTTTCTGCTTCCTACTGGAGTCCATTAGAGACAGATGACACACACACACACACACACGGGGCCTCATTGATTTTCACTGTATGGACAAAAAAAAGAGACATTTCTCAAAATATCTTTTTTG